ATCTGCCACGTGGATAAAATTCTACCTCTGTAGCTTACAGGTATTGAAATACAGTTCCCTGTGTGTGCACTCCACTTCGAGGGAATGGCTGATTCTATCCTTGTCATTCTAAAGTTTTTAGCTTTCTTTAAGACATGATAAATTGGGGAACAAAAAGAATTTCCTCTTCACGACAGTAGTACTTTTGAGAGGCTGAACATGTACCTCCGACTCAAGGCTGAGTTATAAGAACAATAGAAATGGAAGGAAAGAGGTTTTAATTTCCCAGTGCTGAAGACAGTTTGTCAGGATGAGAGACAGACACAAAGAACATGTACAGACTTGCACTTCCATTAGGGGATGAAGAGGGCAAGCCCTCCATCCATGTTGCCTTCAAAGCATTGCCCAGAATGCAAAATGACATGGTTTTTCTGGAATAGAATTCTGTTTGAAAGGCCAAGAAAAGGTGATAGGTTTTTAATGCACATTTGGGTGCCTTCAAGTTCTCCTTCTCTAACTGAAACTGAGATGTTCCTGAAAAGCTGCTATAGGTGGGGGGAAGAAAAGAAATATGGTTAAAATTCCCTATGTCTTTCTTTGGCCCATATTGTATAATCAAAAATGACTTCAGAACAGAAACAGATCATAGCGTTATGGGGTGTGGCATACAGAGACTGCAGAGAAATAGCAAAGATCATTGTCACTCCCTGAGTAAGAAATGAATCACTTCCTTCACAATAGTCCCTGCTGCCTGCTCCTTCGTAGAAGTCAATTCGTCTTTCTAGAACCACATACATCTTCCCCAAATTGCTCTAATATTAGTGCTATTCTCAAAATTCTTTGGATCGATTCTTGTTAACAGGTCATTCAAATTCAGTACTACTATTTTTCTCACTTTCCTTCCTCTTTGTTAAATTGATTTGCTCCAACAAATCTCACTTAGAATATTAAAAAAAAAAGATTCACGAGAGCTTGACATAAGTTTTATCATTTTCCTGGGAAGCTCTGTCCAGTCTTTCAAAGTTCTTTCAGTCCTCAAGGTCTAACTCAATTCCTACATCTTCTGAGTCCTACACTTCACTCATAATCTTGCATGAAATTATTATGCTTATGGCATCAGGACTGACCACATAGCTCTATGACCTGTGCAGTGACTTGGGGTCCATGATCAGAAAGGCCCCACTTGGTATAATGCTAATGCTACTGTCCTGAAATACTAATAAGGGCCAGCGTTTTCAATTTGTACTATATCTGTAAACTATATAGTTAGACCATTTCCCAGGACTAAAGTTATCAATTTTGTATCTATGCCCTAGTACTTATTATCTACACTATTGTTTTGATGTTTTTTTTTGTGTGTGTGTGTGTGGCATATCTACCCCTACTAGAGAGGAAGCTCTAGAAAGTCATAGATCTCATTTGCTGAGTTTCCACAATTGCATGGAAGAGCAGCTCATGAAGTAAAGACATTGATGAAAAGGCAAGAGTACCACTCAAGAATTTTTCAGGGAAGAACCCCACATCTACTGAGAATAACCATGCGAATATTTGTGTCCCCACAAAATTCACATGTTGTGATCTCATATCCAATATGTTGGTATTAAGAAGCATGACTTCTGGGAGGTGACTAAGCCATGAGCAGGGAGCCTTTGTGAATGAAATTAGTTTCTTTATAAAAGATGCCTGAGGGATCTTGTTTGCTCCCCACCTAGTGAGGACACATAGAAGGTATGATCTATGAGAAATGGGCCCTTACCAGAGACCAGATATTGGCAACTTGAACTTGGTCTTCCCAGCCTCCAGAACCTCCATAACACAATGACAACTCATAAAATTCTATTTGTAGTATTTTCGTTGTTTCTAAGTCTATGGGCTTTGTTACATCAGGCAGAATGGACTAACGTAAATACTAAATGATCTAAAAAGTTGTGCCCATTTAGTATGCACCAGTCGCTATGTTTTGTGCTAAACAAGCAAATCTAAGTTAGTCCTCACAACATGAGGAATAGGTACTATTATGACTTTATTTTCCAGATGAAGAAACTAAGGCTTAGAGATGAGGATGTCCAAAATCACACACTAAATGACAGAACCAGGAGTTGGTGTCGGGTCTATCTGCTATAAAATCAGTGAGTCTAAAGTTCTTAACTGAGAGAAATATGAAATTTTCATGCAATAATAAACGTAAAGAAGTTATTACTGGAATTGAGGCCAAGGCAGTCAAATTATTCTCTCTCACAGTCTCAACCTTGAGTTTATAAAATCTGCCTGTGTATACACAGACTTTGAGTTGTCAGACCAGTTTCCAATAAAACATATTTTTTAAACATTTTACTAAATCTTCCTTCAGCCCCTTAAGCCATTCCTTCAACAAAAATACTATATTTGTACTTTCAAGTTATTTCTAACTCATAAAATTCTATATGTAGAAAAAAATATTTTGGAGACTAAGGAAGACAGAAAGTGTGAGGAGAAGGGAATATTATGGAATCAAATGAGTAAGGGGATAGTGTTGGAAGTCAAATCTGTGTCAGTTTTCCATGCCAGGGCTCTGGTCCATCTCTTTTCCAGAGTACACCTACATGGAAAATTTAGAGAGACGGACGACCAAGGATTATTGTGAAAGGATGTCTTATTGAGTTTAGTTTATCATAAATTGTTACTCATTTATTGTTAAAACTAAGTTTCATTTCCATCGCAGGCTTTCTTTTTTTATTTCTGAATTCAAATATGTACTATTGATGAGATATATACAGTACTTCGAATACATTACTGTAAGAATTTGCATTACATGCCTCAAGACAGTTCCAAATACAGATCAAACATATGCCATAAGTCACCATAAGTCACCACTTAGCCATGAGGGGTCTGTTCCAAGACCACCAACAGATTCCTGAAAGCACAGATATTACTGAACCCTGCAGAAACCTATTGTTTCCTATGCATGCATGTGTGGGATAATGTTTGATTTATGATTTAGGTGCAGAAAGAGATCAGTGACAATAACTAATATTAAAACAGAACAATTCGAACACTATACTATAAAGAAAATTATGTGAATATGGTTTCTCTCTCACCCCAAATATCTTATTGTACTGTACTTCTCCTTCTTGTGAGATGTGAGATGGTAAAAATGTCTATATGATGAGATGAAGTGGGGTGAGTGACACAGGTATCATGACAGTTCTGGGCTGCTATGTGAGGGTTACTTGAGCTTAAGTCCTGCTACCCTGTGGTGTCTACCTGATAACCAAGATAGTTTCTAAGTGAAATGCCAAGGCTATCTACTACTACTCAGTATGGCTCATAATTTAAAACTTACAAATTATTTATTTCTGGAGTTTTCCATTTAATATTTTTTGGTCCACAGTTGATTGGGGGTAACTGAAACCATGGAAAGCAAAATGGTGGAGGGGGATCTGCTGTATTGTCTTGAACAAATAAGAAAAAATTCAATTCAAGCCACATTGGGTGTATCCTTCAGGATTTTAGGCTAATTAAGTGTTCAGAAGTTCAGATCTTCTCCTAGTGGTCACCCACCCCAGTGTTTTCAGGAGAAGATAATGCTTTTGTTCCCTTATTCTGGAGGAACCATTACTGCCACATCCAGAGCTTTCTGGAGTTGGAGTTACTGCCAACATTTTAAAAAATCCTCAGTTGAATTATTTACCTGCCCTTCCAAGGAACATAATATGAAGAAAAGAGAGGTGTGGTTATCTCGTTGAACACATATACTGATAGAGCACTTGTCCACTTTTGCAACATTGCTCCAAGCTTTCTGGATGTATACTTATTCTCCATCCATGAAATCCAGTTTCTTTGAGATAGTGATCTCTAGATAACTTTCAGGACAAGATGCTTTAATGACTATGCTCTCATTTGGTTTCTATTGAGTACATTTTTAATCCTGATTTTTGAGACTTATACATAAGTATATAATAACTAACAGTGTGTAATACAGGGATGGAATTCATACATCAAATAAGTTCTGTGTTTTTATGCAATGTGGAATTTATTAAAAGCATCAAATCTCTTTCTTTCCAAAATCTTGCATTAGATAGTTTATAGTTTTACTGGCTCACCAATTATTTTGAAAACAAAAACAAAAACAAAAACTGACTTGTTTTAGTATAATGCTGATATGTGCCTGGACTTCAACTTGAGGTGTAGTGAACAGGTCATAGGCACTTAGTAAAAACTTCCACGTTAGAAACAGTTATAATCATTGTTTTCATCAATGTCAAACCAACAGTAACCACATTTTAAGATGACAATAAGTTCAGAGACAAGTTTTCCAAACAGACCATTCACCTATCACCTTGCTGATACATCATTTGAAGAAAGTGTGTTGTAACAAATGAGAATAAAATCTGGCTTCTTTAGACAGAACTGAAAAAATTAAAAACAACAAAACTGAAGATTGTAAGAAGCGCACAGATAAAGAAATAAGAGAACTCTCATTTTATTTAAACATCCATCCACTACTCTAGATACTGCAGATATTACTTAATTCAGTCTTACGCTTAACTAAATGGAAAGAATTCCCACTTCTCTATGTAGATACAGGTACAGAGGCTGAAGTTAATTTTTTTTCTTTTTCTTTTGCATAGTATGGTAAATCTAATTCCAAAGCTTAAATTCTTTTTGCCACACCATAGCAAGAACCCTTCTGATTTTAAAATCATTTCAGATTTTTCAGCATATTGTTGCTTACCTTCCTAAGTAAACAAGAAGTGTGATATTCTGCATGTGTTAATCCCTGTGTGTAAATAATGAAAGGTATTTACTTACTTCCCTCTACATTATTTAATAGAAAGTGCTGTATTCATAGACAAGATATAATGAAGGATAGCTCCTAGCAAGGACTCAGACCAAAATTTCCTTCCACTTTCATATTCTTCATCGACAGCTCTATTTAAATTGAAGTTGTCACCCTATCATACAGGGAATTGGTTTGTGCCATGAAGAAAAATAAATCGACCATATTAAAAGAAAGGTTAATAGTTAACCTTCACTAAGCCCAACTTTTTCACCTGGTTTATTATCACCCTTGAAAGTGGACCATGCTATCAATTTCAAATATCAAGGCATAACACGCAGTCTGTATGGAACCGGAAAGAGAAAGCAGAGGAGGTAAGAGCTCTACGATTAGGACAAACCACCATTTTGGTCATGTGTGGAAAAGACCAAGGTCATGCTGGTGCTAGGTGTTGAGATAGCATATTGGTGTCTCCCAAGATTCAGGCTGAAGTTTCACCTTGTGCTCCCTCCCTGGTGTCAGACCTGTACTCCTGTGGCAGCCCTTGCTGGCACTGCAGAATTGAACAGGTGCTGGCTTCAGGGGAAACTTAATGATTATTCTCTTCAAATGAGAAAAATAGTCTCTTAAAATGCCTAAGATTTGAAAAAAAAATCAAGTTGAATGAAGTTTATAAAATATTTTCTCTCCTTGCTCATTAATTTCAGACTTGAAGAAAAATCTCTTTACAAAGGGTTTTAATTTTTCCCCTATGCCCCAGCTTACTCGTCAGTCTTCTTTTACAGACTTATTCTCATCCCCCTTTTTATTGCTTTTATTTCTGCACAGGTCTGTATTCGTCATGCCAAAAAGTAGTTTCTCCGTGTGCCACCTGCCTGTTCTGTAGCACATTGCTTTCACTATACCCAGGCCAAGGCTGTGATGGATTTCTCTCTGTGTGTAGGAAGATTGGAGGCATAGAAAGTAATGTTGAAAGGGTCAAAGTTGTTGGAGTGAATTGGAGAAGGTGGCCCTGGAAGTGGTCTGAAAAGCCAGCAGATAATGTCGTTGCACAGGTGTGAAGAAATAGGGCCTTCTGACACACAAAGGTAGGCTAGAAAATTTCCCCATCATTATTTTGCATGTGTTTAGTGCTAAGAATTTACATTCTAAGTGGATAAGGTTGTCATAGTTACACAGTATCTGAGGACTGCAGGCTTGTTGGGTGAATGAATGAATGAGAAAGCTGTATCAATTCCACACATAAATGCATGCTTCTACAGATAGCACTGAAGGAGAATCCTAATTATTGCAAAAGAAAGCTCAAGAAACCAGAGCAATAAAGAAGACCAGACATTTACTAAGTGCCTACTGTGTGCCTGGTACCATGCCAGGTACTTTGCATGTACTACTTACACTATGCACTGCATGGCCAAGTTTTGGTCAAGGGCAGACTTCATATATGACAGTGGTCCCATAATCTTAAAATGGAGCTGAAAAATTTCTATGACTTAGTGACATTGTAGCTATTGCAATGTCATAGCACAATGCTTCACTTACCTGTTGGTGGTGATACTGGTATAAACAAATCTATTGTGTTGCTGGTCATATAAAAGTATAACATGCAGTTATGCACAGTACATAATATTTGTAAATGATAATAAACAACTATGTACTAGCTTATATATTTACTCTACTACAATTTTTATTACTGAGTGTACTCTATTAAAAAGAAAAGTTTACTGTGAAAGAATATGCCATGTCACAATGGCAGTAGTCTAATATATCTCATCTTTACGTATCTCTTGATTGTATCAAAATGCCCCAATGAGTGGTCACATTATACCAACTAGGCTTGGGTGAGTCCACTCTACAATGTTTGCGCAAGGACAGAATCTACCAAGGATACCCTTCTTAGAATGTATTTCTGTTGTTAAGTGATGCATGTATTCTATATTTAAATACCATTGACCATCCTACCCTATTTTGTGGTAGCCTCAAAAATGGCTCCCAGTGATCTCCACCAGCTGGTATCTGTAACTTTTTGTAATTCCTTTCACAGTGAATAGGGCTGACTTGTGGAACAAGTAGGATATTGTGGAAATGATGAGGTATGGCCTCTGATCATAAAAGCAATTATGCCTTTCACTTTGCTTTTTTTTTTTTTTTTTTGGCTAACTCTATCAAAAAGAAGCTTGTTGCTCTGTCCTTAGGAAAGTCCAACAATTCAATGAAGAGAACCACATGTGAAGAACCAAGGCCTTCTATTAGAAAAACTGCACTAACTTTTTAAACATGTGAATAATACACCTGAAAGCAAGCCATCTGGTGCCAATTAACACTCAGATGATTTCATCTCTAGTCAGTGTCCTTACTACAAGGTCAAAGAGACCTGACTGGTAGACCTAGTTCTAGTTGATCCAGGACCATCCAACCAAACCACTGCCAGATTCCTGACTCCTAGAAACTAAGCAGAATAATAAATCAGTATTATTTTAAGCCACTATATTTTGGACCATTTGTTACATGTGAATAGATGGTTATTCTAAATCTTATATTACCCTCATTTTATAGAGGAAGCAATAAAATTTATGAGAGATACAGGTGCAAAATATGAATGGCTTCCCTTTATTGGGCACCTACCAGGGAGGGTTTAGACTACAGAGGATACATAAAGCAGGGCACAAGAATCAAGGAGGATTGCAGTCATTAGTGGATAAGAAGAGTTCATTCATTCATTTCTTAACAAATAATTCTTAAGCATGTACTATGTGCCAGTCATTGTGCAGGGCTATAAAGATACATCTGTAACCAACAAAAACAGAATTCACTGCCTCTTTGGAGCTTACAATCTAATGAAGGTTGATTGATAACACAGGAAAAGTCTGAAATATAATGGAAACTGAAGGAGAAGTACATACAGGGAAGAGCAAAACCATAAGACATTCAACTCTTTCTTCCTTCCAGCACAATGCATCCTTATATGAGGTGCCTGAATGCAGTGCTCTGTCCTGAGAGATGAAACTTTGTGACAAGGATCATTTTTCTCTTTTGTACCCTCATGTGTCCCACATGCCTGGAGTTCAACCTGGAACAAAATCTGCATGTAGTAAATATTTATTGCATTGGCTTAAATTCTCAGGAGAATGAGATTTTTTAGTGGATTTAGCTGCCTAAAATGTTCAGCATTGCTCAGTTGTTTTAAGATGGGCATGTTACTTAAGATAGAGAAAATTATGCCAGTGTAATTTGTTTTCTAATATCAATAGAACAACACTTGTAATAAACATGATTTTCTTCTCAACAGTCATTCTAGAAATTCATTTATGTATGTAAGATCTTACATCCCCAAACCAATGTACTAAAAAACAATAAAGACTCCTCCTAAAATCAAAATTTGAGGTATGGTTATGAGATCCCCAAACAGATGTCCATGAACCAAAGAACAATCAGTCTCATCATCTACATGTACATAAAAACAGTATGCTTCATCTGTTCAATTCTACCCATGATCTGTGGTGGCTACAAGGGAGCATATACAGTCCAATTATGAGAAGATTAGAAGTTTAACACTTCATGACCCTGTGGTCATGTTTGGGAGCATATGCAAGTCGTTTTTAAAGCTCATGGTTGCAGAATGTCAATTCTAAAATTATGGGAGGGAGAAATCAAACAGTCATTAATTGTTGATTGCAAGCATTCATTATATTATAAAATGTTAATACTAATGAGAACTTCAAATACAGGAATTCAATCCCTGGTCACCAAAGAGAAACTTAGACAGGTGAATTAATTGTCTCAGACACACTAGCCTGAGTGCTCATGCTCAACCTTAAAATGAACCCTTTCAGTGCTTTTTCTTTTATGCGTATGTTTCTTTTAATAATCTAGATACTGTCACCTATTATTTCAGTCAACTTTTGCTTCTGTGACCAAAAGACCGGAAGAGAACAATTTTAGAGAAGGAAAAGTTTATTTGGGGCTCACAGCTTAAGAAGTCTCAGTCCATAGAGGACTGACGCCATTGCTCTAGGACTGAGGACAAGCAGAACATCATGGCAAAAAAGAATGGAGGAGGAAAACAGCTTAGGACATAGAACCAGGAGAGAGAGAGAGAGAGAGAGAGAGAGAGAGAGAGAGAGAGAGAGAGAGAACAGGATCAGGGACAAATATACATCTCAAATTCATGGCTCCAATGACCTACCTTGTCCAGCTACACCCAACCTGCCTATAGTTAGGACCCAGTTAACCAGTTAATCCAGTTAAGTGGATTAGGTTAAGGCTTTCATAACCCAATCAATTCACCTCTGAAATTTCTTGTATTATCTTACACCTGAGCTTTTGGAAGACAACTCTTACCTAAACCATAACAACTATTATAGAGCACGGGAATTTGGCTGATCATTTCCAATGGGACTGTAATTTAGATGGCACTGAAGGCCATATTCCATAGCAATTTAGAACATAGGTTCTATAATCTTACAATCAGGTCTTAAATAATTAACTCATCATTTTCCAGTTGCAAAAATCTATTGGGCAATTTGGGCAAATTGTTTAATCTCCCTAAGTCTCAGTTTACTATCTATAAACACAGAGATAAAAATAATCTCCATAAACAATACATATTTCATTTTTTTGTGAAGATGAAGCAAGATATCATAGAATAACTTCTTAGCACCTGTAAAGTAGTTATTATATTAAAATATTGTTATTGTCATCATGATTCCCATTAGCAATAGAATGTCCTGAAAACTGAGAATTAAGATAAGGTGCTCATCATGAATTTTCAATTGAACAAAAAGACAAAACACAGTGTAGACCAATTACTAGCCCTGGGAGTTTAGCATCCTTTGGCTTCTTTCCCAAGCCACTGGAAATAATCTAAATGACAACAAAGTGCTTGTTAGTGCAACATTAAGTCAGTCCCTAAGCCCCCTTTGGTCCTCACTTTGTTTCCTCAAAAGTAAAAATCCCAAGTGATGTTCACAGCCAGGAGATCAGAAGAATTGATTGGGTGTCTAGTCAGTGATATTTTATTTTATTGCTCAAATAGAGAATTGTGTTCATGGGGGACAGGCCCTCCTCACTTTCTGAGTTTAGGAGCAAAGGGCATGAATCTAGTTCTCAGAAGAAGGCAACAGGACTTCAAGCCCACAATGGCCCATGCAATTCAATCCACAGAGGCTGATTGGAAGTAGGAGATCCCCAGAATGTGAGGCCATGATGGGATTTGAGCAGGAATATATGGTATATGCACTGTTGGAGGGAGATAGGGTTCTTAGACTTTGAAATGCAGGTAAGGCCATAACCTTTTATTAGAATGAGGCATCAATGAGATTAGAAAATCTTCAGCCCAGGAAACAACATGAGAGTGGATTTAACCATAGCAACCACAAACGAAATCCCTGGAAATCAGCATGGAAAAACTTTCCTTCCTTTAGATAGGATTGATTCAGAAACCTGATTAGATGCATGGGTGTGTGGCTGTAATGGGGTTTGTATATGCACTAATGTGGTGATATACTGAACTCTGTATTTTTTTTGGAAGAGAATTTGCTTGTCCAGCTCTATGAATAGAGCAAAAAAGAGGGCAGTGAAGAGGAAGAGTTTTTGTTTTGTTTTGTTTTATTCTTGGGTATATAATGCATGACGAAAAGCTCAATATTCCCATATATCCATTATAAAAAGCAAGACTCATTTGCTTACCATAGGTCATATGGGTTCTCAAATATGTGTCAGTTACAGATCTTTAAAGATGTGCTTGCATGTGTGAGTGAAGAGGTTTACCACTAAATAGTTTCATCTTTAAATTGTATCAGAGTGAGGAATATATGCTTGTGGTTGGCAGAACAACAAATTCCCCAAAATGTCCATGTCCTCTTCCTTGCAACTTGTGATTATGTTACGTTATATGTCAGATGGAAATGAAAGTTGTAGATGAAATTAAATGTATTAACCTGCTGATTTATATAAGGAGATTGTCTTAGACTATCTAGGTGAGTCCAGTGTATTAAAATTTCCTCAAATGAATAATACAGAGGATTCAGAGTCAAAACCATGTGATGTGTGTAACACATGATTAGCTATCACTGGCTTTAAAGATGGAAGGAGGCCAAGGGCCAAAGAATAAGCAGCAGCTTCTAGAAGCTGAAAAATGGGTTTTCTGTCCCTCAAAATCTTCAGAAAGGAATGAAGTCCTGCTGACACCTTGATTGAAGCCCAGTACCACCTGTTCCAGACTTCTAGAACTATAAGATAATATATTTGTATTACTTAAACCACTGTTTGTGGTAATTTTTTATGATGGCAATAGAAAATGAATAGGATAGTCTATGTATTTTCCAATTGTCTGAAAAGAAAAATAATTTCAAAAACCGAAAAATTCAGGAGATGCTTGAAATAAGAGTCTGAGGAGTTCCAGGTGAGAACTGGATCACAGAATACTCCAGTCAAGGGCATTATAAATAATACTTATGTTACCTCCTGGGTACCCTCTGAAGCCTTGTGGAGCAGCATACCATGCCATATATTTCCTAGGCAGCAACATTTAGAGCAATCATTTCCATTTAAATGCTACTTTCTACAACCATTTGTTTCTTTTTTCTTTCTTTAATGCGTTTTAATTAAAGGTAAGAAGAGAATAAAAAGGAGATGGGGGAACTAACGCAGCTATAATGTGTGGGTGTAAGATATTGAAGTCTGCAGCCTTATGCTCAGTTTGAAGGTAGAAAAACAGTGATTATAGTTATATATTCTAAATGAGATTCTATATAAGTCCTGGCTTTGAACATGAGATTTGATGTAAGTCAAAAAAGACCCTGATTATTCCTGAATGCACACTGGTTTTTCTTGATGTTTAAATAATTTTAGCGATGGAAGTCTAAGTTGTTAAGTGCTCACTTACAACTTCAAAATATAAATCATTGCACCAATAATTGTTGGGTAAATGCTTGCAATTGTTAATATTAGCACCAATTTTGAATGTAATATTTTAGTGCACAGAATTACTTGTCTTCACCAAACAGAGAGAAAAAAAAATATAGAAATCAAACAGTCATTGTGAAAATTTAAAACTGCACAAAGGAGAGTCAATTTTCCACCAGGAGATGATCACATCTGTGGCTTTTCTGACAGGGGGAAAAAAAAAGTTAATGTTGTCTTCCTTCAGGAGCTCTCCCTTGTATTTAGACCAGCTGGAATGTGCTCAAAGAAAAGCAAACACATTTTAACATTAGCATAAGCAAAACAAATCTTTCTCAAAAAATTCTATCCTAAAAGGTCTGAGTCACCCACTGTTTTAGTATTTGTTGGTGTCTTCAGTTACCACAGGTGATCAGCAAACCTGTTAGACGCATCAATCGTGAGGTGTGGAAGTCAATAGCAAAGGAAAATCAACAATATCTTGTTTTCTCCATCACTAGACTAAAGGAAAAAGACTATTTGCGGGAATCGAAGTAACTAATGTTGTGCATTATTGTCATGCATTATTAATAGTCATAATTTTCTTGCCATGTAACTAGTAGCTAGCCTGGTATTTTAAAATATAATGTCTCACTGCTCCCTATCCACCCCATTCATGATTCTCCTATTTCCTGATGTTCCATTCCTTTTTCTACTATAAACTCTATTTAAGCTTTTCAATGTCATTATGGAAATTAATGTCATACTGAAAAGAGTCAAAGGAGCTGTTTTTTATTTATACAATAAATATGTACATACATAAAGATGAGGCAAACATTCTTAATTCATTTAAATTATTTAGTGGTCAAAATGGGAACCACTACAAGAACTTAGTATAAGAAGGCAGTTACTGAAAGTTAGAGAAATCTGGATTGCAATCTTGCTCTCTTCCTAACTAGATTCAAGGTCTAGGGAAAGTTGCTTATTGTATATGAAACTGATTGCGTTTGAGTATTTTCTTTAACAAAAGATTAAAATCACAGTCTACCTCACAAATTTGTTGTGAGTACCATAGTGTTATGGTTTGAATGCGAGGTTTCCCCCAAAAGCTCATTTGTGAGACAATCCAAGAAGATTCAGAGGAGAAATTATTGTGTTGTGAGAATCTTAATCCAATCAGCGAATTAATCCCCTGATAGCCATTAACTGAGTGATAACTGAAGTGATAGGGTGTGGCTGGAGGAGGCAGGATTTCGGGTGTGGCTTTGGGGTATTTGTTTGTATCTAGCAAGTGAAGACCTCTCTCTGCTCTCTGATCATCATGTGAGCTGGTTCCCTCTGTCATACTCTTCCGCCATGATGTCCTGCATCACCTTGAGCCTCAAGGAATGGAGCCTGCTGCCTAT